ACCAAGCTATCTCACTAGCCAACTTCAAATTGTTTTATTAATATTATTTTTTTTACCTTATTCATACTTTTTCTTTTTTTTTAATTTTTATTTTTATTTTGCAATACAATTCAGTTCTACATATCAGCCACAGATTCCCTTGTTTTCCCCCCCTCCCGCCCCCCTCACCATTTTGTCTTAAGTGTGTGGGTGTTTTACCTGCATGTGTACCTGTGTGCCCCATGTGTACCTAGTGTCGGATGAAGTCAGAAGAGGGCATTGGATCTTTTGGAATTGGAGTTAGAGATGGTTGTGAGCCACCATATGGATGCTGGGAGTTGAACCTAGGTCCTCTAGAAGATCAACCAGTGCTCTTTCTGCTGAGCCATCTCTTCAGGACCCCACCCCATTTCTTGTTTTTGGAAGAAGGCCTCATGTGTTTCAGGCCAGCCTTGAACTTCCTATATACCTAAGGATGACCTCGAACTTCTGATCTTCTTGAGTTCTAGGATTACAGTGGAGCACCACTATACATGATTTACATGGTTGGCAAGCCAACTCAGGGCTTTGTGCATGCTAGGCAAGCATTCTTCCAATTGTACTGCATACCCAGCTCTTCTTTTGGTTTGTTTGAGACAGTCTCATGTAGCCCAGGCTACTCTACAACAAATTATACCACCAAGGATGATCTTGAGCTGTAATGATCCTCCTGCCTCCACCTCCTAAGTGCTGGGATCATATGTGTGCCACAACATTCCACTTCCAATCGTTGCTGTTTTTGTTTTGTGGAGGGTAGTGGGTGAAAGAGGGTGTCACTATGCAGCTCTTAGCTGGCCTAGAACTCACTGTGTAGACCAGATTGGTTGCAGACTTGCAGTGACCCTCTGGCTCCTGTCTCTGGAGTGCTGGGATGACTGGCATGTGCCACAAATTGTCTTCTCAAAGTTAACAAGGCGCTTGTCTGAAGGGGAAATGTGTTCCCTCAGAGAGTAGAGCAGATGTGTGTTGTGCAATGCTCTATCAGAGCCTGAGTAATAAAGACATTTTTCTGTCAACTCCAGAGACACGATACATTTCATTTCATCTGTGTCAGAGTGGAACTTAACACAAGGAAGCATTAAATTATTTTTCAATTTAATTTCTGCATAATAGTTATGTGTCTGGGGCATAGTTTAACAATAAGGCATGTTCATCAGAAAGTATCTCAGAGTTGAGTGTGGTGACACATGGTGGCTCAAGCTTTTAATCCCACTATGTCTGACTACATTTTGTTTTGTTTTTTTGAGGCAGAGTTTTACTATGTAGCTCTGGTTGTCCTGGAACTCACTATGTAGACCAGGCTGGCCTCAAACTCTAAGAGATCTGCCTGCCCCTGCCTCCCAAATTCTGGGATTAAAGGCATCCCAAGTTTTTATTTTTAATTATGTGTATGTGTGGGTATGAGAACATGAGTGCAGGTCAGAGGTGTCCTGATTTGGTACTGGGAATTGCACTCAGGTCCTCTGCAAGAGCGGTAAGTACTCAGCCATTGAGCCATCTCTTCAGTCCTTCTTTTCTTGATAAAAATCAGTGCATATGTAAATGCAATGGCCACTTACCAACGTTGAGATTTAAAAGCACCCTATCAAAACATTCAAAAGGATGCATGCCAAACTCTTCAACAGCAGCTACCTTCAGCTATCTTTACATAGTGTGTTTGGAGAGAAGAGGTGTATGCATTTGTTGGGATTTGCTTGGTTTTATTTGAGACAGTCTCACGTAGCCCAGCTGGCCTCATGCTCACTATGAGATCTAGATGCCCCCAAGTGCAGGGTTACAGGTGTGGGGGTCCTGCATTTCTTGCAGTTTCTCTGCCACTGTCTCTTGTAAGGAGCAAATGTTTGAGTTAGGAATGGAACAGACAATGAAATCATCCATTGCTGTCTTAGTGCTTCTTAAACACTTTCTCCTGGCTAAACTGTGAATTCCATCCTGACTGAGGACAATGTCTTCTACATCTAGTATAGCATATACTAGCCACCCAATAACTGAATGAATGAATTTATGAATGATCTAGCCTAAATACAGTTTTTTGACCATGACCACCAGGGGACGCTCATTTCCAAAGTCTCAGCAATTCCCTTGGAAGTGAGGTTTGCTTGAAGGCCCTAAGAAGCTTTGATGTGCCAAAAGATCCTCCTCCAGATGCACACTAGTTTGTTTGTTTTTAAGACAGGGTCTCTCTACATAGCTCTGGCTGTTCAGGAACTCATTACACAGACCAGGTTGGCTTTGAACTCACAGAGATCCACCTGCCTTTGTTTCCTGAATGCTGGGCTTACAGTTGTGATTTCTCCTTTAAAAAAAAAAAGATTAAAGATTTTTATTTTATGTGTATGGGTGTTTTGCCTGCATATACGTCTGTGCACCACATATATGCAATGTCCTTAAAGGCTAGGGACAGGAAATTTATGGGGAAGAAAAGATCACAGGAAAATTACATATATGCATTTAAGTGTTGTCTGTGTGTGTGTAGGATTACTTCATAAAAAGAACTAAATTATTCTGGTTTTTTTTTTGGGGGGGGGTTTCCTAGACAGGGTTTCTCTGTGTAGTTTCCCTGAAACTAGAGTTTCAGATAGTTGTGAGCTGCCATGTTGGCTCTGGGAATCAAATTCAATTCCTCTGCAAGAGCAGCCAGTGCTCTTACCCACTGAGCCATTCCTCCGGCCCGCCTCACTTTTTTTTTTTTTTTTTTTTTGATATACAGAGTCTTGCTATGCAGCCCAGGCAATGGCACATGACTTTAACCCCAGCACTCAAGAGGCAGAAATAGAAGGATCTGAGTTCAAGGCCAGCAGGGTCTATAAAGTGAGTTGTAGGAGAGCCAGGACTGTTACACAGAGAAACGCTGTTTTTTTTTTTTTTTTTTTTTTAAATTACATTGATCTTCCTGTTTCAGCCTCCCAGAGTGCTGGGATTCAGGAGTATACCACGACACCTTATTTTACAGTTTATCTTCCTTTTTTTTTTTTTTTTTTTTTTGGTTTTTCGAGACAGGGTTTCTCTGTGTAGCTTTGCACCTTTCCTGGAACTCACTTGGTAGCCCAGGCTGGCCTTGAACTCATAAAGATCCGCCTGGCTCTGCCTCCCGAGTGCTGGGATTAAAGGCGTGTGCCACCACCACCCGGCTATTTTTTGTTTTTTCGAGACAAGGTTTCTGTGTAGTTTTGGTGCCTGTCCTAGATCTCGCTCTGGATCTTGAACTCAGAGATCCGCCTGGCTCTGCCTCCCGAGTGCTGGGATTAAAGGCACGAGCCACCACCGCCTGACTTTATTATTTTATTTTTTGTGTATGTGTGTGGGTATATACCATGGTATAAGTGGAAATGAGGACAACCCTTGGAAGTCAGTTCTCTCCTTCCATCATGTGGTCCCCAGGATTTGAACCTTGGTCATGAGAACTGGCAGCAAGCACCTTTATCTCCTGAGTCATCTCATTGGTCCTGTAGGTCATCTTTTAAGTTCAGTACTCAAACCAACAGTATCTACACTGCCAGGCGGCTTGTTAGAAGTACAGCTTCTTTCCTAGACCCAAACTCAGGAATCTGTAGTTCAAGGCTTTGGGTAAGTCCAGTGCAAGCAAGCCAATGGGTTCTCTGTGCAAAACTCACCCCAGGTTTTCTTCGTCCAGGGACTGAAGACCATGCTGGAGGATTTCTCAGCATCCCCTATTTTTAACCCCCACAGTAGCAAGCAGCATTCAGGCATGGCGGCGGGGTTTACAAGGAAAAGCTGTACACTGAGGAAGGCTTTGGCAGGATCCCTAAGGCTTCAATCGTGTCCCCTTCCCTGTACCTTAAGATCCCACAAGCCACTGGTTCTAGGTCCTGACTACATAGGAAAATCACCTTGGGGGAGCTTAAAAAGGTCCACACACCAGAATTCATACCCTCGAGATTCTGATCCAGTTGGCCTGGACATGAGTACCCCTAACTCAGCACTGATAGCCAGCGCCAGACTGTACAAAGGCATAATCACAGGAAAATTATGTGTATGCATCCAAGTGTTGTCTCTCTGTGTGTAAGATTACTTCATAAAAAGAATTAAATGATTTGTTTTTCTAGATAGGGTTTCTCTGTGTAGTCTGGCTATCCTGAGCTCCCTCTGTGGACCAGGCTGGCTTCGAACTGGCAAAAGATCTGCCGTCTCTGCCTCCTGAGTGCTGGGATTAAAGTTTTGTGCTTCTTTATGTAGTTCTTACTGGCCTGGAATTTGCTATGTAGACCAGGCTGGCCTTGAACTGAGATCCAGTTGTTCAGATTAAAAGCCTGTGCCACCACACCCAGCTAAGCTCCCATTTCACCAATTCCATCATTCATTTCCAGAGATGTCACTTACACAGACTGATGCCATGTGTGATGGTTTTCCAAGGTGATCAGAATTCTGAGACCTTCTCGAGTCTGCTTGTTTGCCGTTCTCACTCTCCCAAGACTATGGTGTGCTCCGGAAGCTAAATGGAATGGTGTCGCTATTCTGACAGTGGATCAAATGTGTGCCTATTTGTCTTGAAAAACATTCCCTATCTAGTCTGATAGGTATCCATGGATATAGCCCAGAAAGACTCCCTTGGATATGAAGTGTAAAGCAGTTCCAGAGACAGTTTGAGAATCTCTGGCCAGGACTACTGGACACAATCATTTTGTTTTTCCTTTATCGTTTGGGCAAGAGAAGATTGGCTTAATTTGTTGCTTGGTCAGTCCTTCAACTGTTGATAAACAAGGGAACATCTGGGCAGCAAGGTTTTGTGAGCCCTTCTAAACACAACCAAAAAGAGGAAGTAGTTATGGACCAAAGCATAAAAAACTATCTACTCTTACTCCACAGACGCCTTACTAGAAAGGATCACAGAAACCCAGATGATCTCAAGCCACTTCAGGTGGGATTCCCTGGAACCCACACCCATCTGTGAACCACAATGGGTAACAGATCCGTCCCCAATCACCATGCAATCCCTTAAATAAGAGACGACGACACAAGACTGTCATTCACTTTTCCGCATACTTTATTTGTTACAAACATACAATTTTTTAAATATAGACTGTAAAACTCCATTTGCAAAAGTCTGCTATTGGAAGGAGTGCACACCAGCAGGAAGGATTCTTAAACTTTTTATTTCTATGAGTTTTTCTGTCAGTTTTGCTAGTTAGTGGTAAATACGGGACCCGCCATTTTACAGACCTGTCTGAAGCTTCTGGCTGTATTCACATTGCTCTTTGAAGCAGCCCTGCTTGTCTCACAATTCATCAGAATCTAAGCTTCAACCTACAGGCGGTGAGACCACCAGCCCGTGTGGACTCTGCTTTGAACGGTTTTCAGGAAGTGTGGTTTCTGGATGGGTACTGCACTTCATGGATTGTTGAATTGCCCATGCAGCTGTGTTTGTTAAAGTGCATTCTTCTTTTAAAAAATAAGAGGAATAATCTTTACTCTTTAACCAAGGTACTTAAAAAAATGAACTTTTTGGTCTCTCAGCAGATATTTCCCAAATTGATCCTACCACTACAAATTTTAGTGTTCTATTTACAAATGTTTATAGGGTTCTGGGTGGAGGGGACCTTACAAACAAAGGTGCAGCTTCACTTGAAGCAGAAACCAGCTCTACAAACCCATACACAGGCATACATACTGGTTCACGATGCAGAAGAAGCATGTTGGTATTTACATAGACTAAAGACATTCCAAACCCTCTTTAGAGTAATTTCCAACCTAAGCTAATTGTACATCTAGAGCAAGAAGCTGTCTCCTGCTCGAGATTTGGCTTTAACTCATTCAAATGACTTCTGGAGATTCCCGACTGGGACATTAGTCCCAGCTTTGGAGTGAAGAGCCTAGCTTAACAGAGCCATCGGCAGACAGGACAGGCAGTGAGATTCCTACAGAACACAAAGTGTGTCATCTGAATTCACAGGACTGGAAAGACGCCTGCATGAAGATTCACAAGCGTAAATGCCTAATACAACTGTTCTAACCTCAGGAAAAAAAGTCCAAATACACCGACAATCTTAATTTCAGACACCAAGGTCACGGAAAAGTAACTAAAATATACTTGCCTGCCACCAAAACACGCAAAACCACAGACTCTTTGTAACATGTAAGTCATGATGACCTACAGCCAAGTCTCTAGACTTTTTGCCCAACCTCTTGACTTTTCAGACTCCTGAGAGCTTTGGTTCAACAGATAGTGATGTGGGCTTGGAGAAAAGGGTTTATTATAAAACCTCCTCCAACACACTGTGCTCAGGGATATAATCCTGCTCATTTTCTTGGACTTTCCGGCATCTGTATTTCTCTAAGACAGACATTTAAAAGGGAAGAAACAAACTCCTTGTCACTCTATTTCCAAACACTAAGATTTACTAACCATCTGATCTTGCAACACAGGGCACAAAATATTTTGCCTTTAAGAAGTAAGCATTTTGTTGAAAAAGTTAGCCACTGAAGAGTTCCTGAAGGGGAAGAATGGACACACCAGTGCCTTCTGCACTTCACTAGTGGACATTGAACAGACCCACTACTGCTTTCTCTGCAGAACTCTGGACAGAGTTCAAAAGAGCACAAAGCTGATCCCAGTGGGTTGTAATGTAGCGGACATCAAATTTGATCACAGAACCTCATGTTTATGGTTAAAATCTTTCTCCAAAGTGTTAGAATTGTGGAAAGGCTTTATTAACTTCTAACAAAGCTCTGTTCTCACTCTTAGAAGTCCTACTGAAACTACAAACATGGCATTTATTGTTTTAACATGGCTCTCTACCTATCCCAATTGGAATGTCCAATTCAGGAGGCATTTGATTTTCAAATGAAAGTAAAAGTGAATACAGGTGGTTACATGATTACACTGGTGAATATTTCCTATTTCATTAGGAAATATAAAATACATTCATAAAGGCCTTAAGTTGGGACTCACTAGGGTAATAAATCTTTATGGTGCAATTTTATTCTTTTTGCATTTTCCAAATTTAATTTTCAGTCTTGACAACTGGATCCCATTTGTTCACATATAAGTTTATTTAATCTTTCAGTAATCAAACCAGGTTCAAATTGTGAGGACTGAAAAGGGTAAGTTTAAATAGCAAAGTCAGAGATACCTAGAGAATTCATCATTTATGAGTGTAGCTACCTCTTGAAAGTTCTGCTCTAGAATTCATCGTTCATGAGTCTAGTTAGCTCTTGAAACTTCTGCGGGCTAATATTTGAAAATAACTTAGGTTTTCTACATTAAAAGCAGGGGAAATGAATTATATTTTGCCATTTCCACCTTACATCTGAAATTTCCAACAGGACAGGACATGAACTTTTTTTCTTTTTTCTCTGTATTTTAAGGTAAACGTGGCTCTTTTTTTCTTTTTTCTTTTCTATAAACTACCTCTCTCCCTTCCCTAGCCCCCCTCCCCACACCCACCATCCTGTCTATTGAAGGGAGTTATGACTCTTTAGGAAGACAGCTAATTGATTTACAGTACTCTAAAGCAACCCTGAAAACAGACAATCTCATTCACTCACTATGACTTCAGTGCTGTTGTTGACAGGAAAGAAAAAGCTACCTTAAGGCTCAAGGGAGAGCAACTTATTCAATTGTGAATGCAGCATTGTTTACTCTCCCATCCATTGGAAACTAGCAAGTGCATTCTAATCAAGAATACAAACTTTCTACCATTAGTAAAGATCTCTACTCTCCTTACATAGAACAATACTCAGAAGTGGATTATCTAGGGGCCTGAGAAACCATGATCCACATCACACATGATCCATGTATTTCATGTTCAAAAGTGCTTCATCTTTGAGAACTACGTCAGGATTAAAATGGAAATATACAATGCAAAGTCACTTGACATCTTTTCAAGTGAAGTAAGTACAAAGTGGAAAAGGAGCAAAAAGTGGAGGCTCTGCTCTCTGAACAGGCCTTATGCATGTGACTTTTAGGGTATACTAAATTAAAATTATCTTAAGAATTAGTAACAGTGGGCTTTTATACCACTATATTTTAAAACCTGAGATTGGACATCAAAGCAGTTAACTTTGTTACTCATCAGAGCAATTCTGATACTTCCTAAAAATAGAAGAAAACTCAATTAAATTCAGGGTCAAAAAACATTACTCTCCCCAATCAAAAACATGATATTAAGAGTGCTGCAGAACGACCACTCTCAGCAAACAGGTCATTTTAACACAAGCATAAGTCACTTCTTCCCCTTCTCACTGGTCAAGGCCACACTATTTTCATATGAATATCTACTGAGAGATCAGTTGTGCATTGGACAAAGTACCATAATTGGGTTAAAAATGAAAACAAAATTTACAGTGAAGAATACTTATGTGCATGACTTACACACTCCAGCCTTTCCTTACTTCCATCCACCTCAAGAGCAAGGTGGATGCAAATAGTTGCCTGTGTAGACTGTTCTATACCCTTGTAAAGCCAGTCAAGATCACATTAACAAAGCATCCTCAGCAACTCTAACGCCTGAAGTGTGCAGCCATTTACAGACCACTCAATATGAGGGCATTATTATAACCAGCCTCTTTTGCCCACAACCCTGCATTTTCAGGTAAGACAGGATAATTGTTTTGTTTTGAGAAAACCGAAGCTTGAATCTTTTAAAAGACCTGCAGTTTACTGCAAAGTGATCCAGAGGTAACAAAGGAAGCAGGAGGCTAATGGCTGCCTGAACCAAAAGCCTCTCAATCATTTTGCAGTAAATAGTTATGGAAAGTGACATGACAGTAGCCATGTGTGCTTCACAGCTACAGTCATTTGTACCACCTACATGCCTCCAACAGATACATAGGGTGTCTGGGTTTTTGGTTTTTTGTTTGATTTTTGGTGCTGTGCAGATTTATGTTTTCTTTTGTGCAGCATATGCACTGAAGAATTTGCTGACAAGAACTGCTGTTAGACTTGCTGAAATGATGTGTAGGGACAATAGAAACCATTAAGAAGTAGTAGGGTCTCTGCATAGAATTTTTTCTTCTCTTTGATTTTCTTAAAGACACATTTTTGTATACAGTAGCCTGAGAAACAAACATATCAACAATATTTGAAATGGAGTTCTTGCCCCAACTTCTTGGGCAGGTGACTATTTTCATTAGCTGGGAATCTGCCAAATTTAAAGGAAACATATACAACTCTAAAGCACTCATAGTGGCACTTCGAAAACAAAACAGAAAAGTTGGTACTTCTCAGAATTTGCACAAGGCCATTTTCTGACAGGGTTAACAAAAACCAGCGCCTTCAAAAAACTAGGATTATATGAGCTGACTCTCACACTGTCAGATTTCTATTGTCCCTAGTCCCTGGAATGAGGATCAGTGAAATGCTACAGTTAATCCCCATCCTTCTGCTATCTTCCTACAGTGGGAAGAGAGGCCATGAACTACCCCCTGCAGGAGAAATAAACCTTAGAGATTGGTTAAGACTTAAAAACCCACCACTATGACATTTACCACTTAATCTCTTACAAAGGCAGGTCAAAATTTTAATATAAATTACTTTTGCCAACACATAGCTTATGCATTCTTTGCTCCTTTTTTTGGAGGATTTTCAAATTGATATCTAAAGATTTACATATGATATATTACTGTTATATGGTCTAATGACTAAGAAAATTTCTCTGGTAACCAAAGCTGATGCCATATATGGTAGTGTTCTTGGCATATACTCTATATGCCTCAGACCACTTCCACATTCTTTCTATTCAGCTAATTATAGCTTAGTAGCCACTGGTGAAGGATTGTGAAGACCCTGTCATTTCTACAGAATAGAAAGGCAAGGCTAGTTACTGCAATTCAGCCAAATAAAAAGAAAAAAGAAAAACAAACAAAAAACAAAAACCAACCCCTTGAAAAGGAGAGGTACTGCACCTTTGCAAAATTGAACTGGCTCACTGCAGCTGAGCAACAGAACCACCACTGAAGCAAGAAAACAAGTTGGTCTATACAGGAATTGTACATGATTGGAAAATGAAAACGTTACAGCAATCAACGAATAGCTGCAACCTTAATTTTCATTGCTGCCTCAGAGTTTGAAACTATAAACAGTTTCTGCAAACCTAAATGCTAGCTTCTCAGCTCCTTTACTAAAAGTAGGAATTTGTTCTCCGCAGCAAAGAAACAAACACTCAAAACACATAGGTAAATACAGCAGGACATTGAAAACAGCTGCCTTGTAGTACAAAATACAGTACAAGTATACGGATGTCATTAGAACATCAAAAATACTATTGCTCCCATACAATTTAGGAAACATTCTTTGCAACGGAGAAAAATTTGAAAGAAAAGCTTTAAAAAAATCTGTTTAAAAATTCTACTGTGGATGATGAGAGTAGAGAAATAGTCTGTAAGGGCACCAATGTTTGTGGCTCCTCCATTTTTAAGTCTAAGATCAACAATATTCTGAATCAGTCTAATTTTTTTTCAAAGCCTAATTTTATATACACAAATATTTCCTTCCCTCTCAGCCACAGACACGAAAATGACCTTTTTGTATATTACTTATTTCCCAATAAATACAAAAAGATTGTATAGATTGAATACCAAAATAAGATAATAAAAAGGATATGCAATAAATTAAAAAGGCAGCTCAAATAAAGGGCAGGCATGCAGTTAAAAAGAAATACTAAGATTGTGGAGGTGGGGTTACTTGCCTCCTGGTTCTTGAGAAGGTGTCACACAAATACCTGAAAAACTTTGGAAAGAACATTAGCTCCCATTCAATTCAAAGTTGCCTAGGTCTATGACATTTCTAGGAATACCTTTTGATGGGGTGGGATTAACTCGATTAGAAAAATCATTTATACTGAAAATCCATTTAAAATATAGAAGAGGCGATCCTTGAAAACCCCAACTTTTATTCTTGAAAGACAGCTGGATAAACTGGCAAATGCCAGTTTGTTGAAATTTCAAGATGGTATAAAAATGCTTCCAGGATAGAGTCAGCATTCACGTTCACTTCAGTTCCATTCACAGATGGATTTCAGCTTCCACCGGGTGCAATGCTTGAATCATTCATCCATCATTTGCCAACTTTGATTGTGAGGTACTGAATACAATGGATCAAGTTCTTAAAAATTTATTTTAAAAGAATAAATGATGCTGGAATTCTGGACCTGAGGATGGTCAGTATTTCACTAAATCCACAGATGACACCGAAGGTGAGTTAAGACTTCAGTTCCGGTTGTTTCCAACTTCTCTGTGAGGATGTATATTCCATTAAAGCTCAGGCTTGTAGCCACACTGCTCCTTTTTGCAGATAGTCAAGTTTTAAAGTTTCAAATGCAGCCAGCCAGTGGCTGTAACAGCCGAATTAGCCATAATTCACTAGCTCATAGGGTGGAGCCATAGGGATGCAGCTCTCACTCATGGTAAGCCATTTCTTGGTAATGACCTCCATACTTAAGAGATCAAGGGAAGAACTTTAGTGAGCAGCAACCGACCTACTCAAACAATCTGTCTTGTGCTTTATGCCTGACTTCTTGTGCCTACCTCAGCAATCCCCAATGTAAAATTGCTTTCGTTTTTTTGAAAAAAAATTTGCCAACTTTTAAACTATTTTAGTAATGGATTCTAGTTCAAGCTTTGATATCTGAATTCATCTGCATCCCGGAAAACAATTCTGCAAAGAAAAGACAGGGTCCTTGGTCCAGGTTCCATGCAAAACCATTTTTTAAAAAAAATGGATCCGGCCGGGCGGTGGTGGCGCACGCCTTTAATCCCAGCACTCGGGAGGCAGAGCCAGGCGGATCTCTGTGAGTTCGAGGCCAGTCTGGGCTACCAAGTGAGTCCCAGGAGAGGCGCAAAGCTACACAGAGAAACCCTGTCTCGAAAAACCAAAAAAAAAAAAAAAAAAAAAAAAAAGGATCCAATGATTTTTTAATTCTCCGATGGCTTCTTGAATTCTTATCTCGCCCTGTCCATGATTGTGTAAAATTGCATTCCTTTTCATAAACCTGTACCCTCGGAAGTGGGTAACTGCAAAGGCCTCTTTCTTCTCAAAGATTCCATTAGGACCTAGATCCAAAATGCTGATTTCGATGGCGGTGGAGGGAGGCCCGGAAGGATCCTAAGACCAGATGACCCAGGTACAACACAAATTCAACTGTTATCAATGGACGAGTCTGGGTAACTCAGACGTTCTAAGACCTATTCCCCTCCAGTGTTATCCTGATGAATTTACGAACCTCGGTTTTAAACAGAAGCTGAGACTCTTGCGCAGGTGAGGAGATGCTGCTGTCCTCTTTGCAGGTTGCTGGCAGTTCCTTGGAACTTTACTGCTTTTCTCTAATTGTCTGTGACTGTTTTCTTATGGTTATTTCTCTTAACTATATTATTTTAAATTTTGTTGTCTCCGTCTGCGGCCTCCCCTGATCCCTCTCCACTAGCTCACTGGGGACGAGTAGGAAAGGGAACTCTCTAGCCAAGGGGATGGTGGTGGGGTGGGGGAGGCCAGCACGGGAAGCTGCCCGTTTCAATCCTCATCCACTTCCTCACCCTCGGACTCGTCGCCGCCGCCGCTGCCCCCACCGCGTCGCTCGTAAAGCTTATCCCTCTGTCGCTCCTGGATTTCTTTCATCTCATCTGCATACCGACAGAAGGCGCCTCCAAACTTGCCCCAGGCCTTGAAGGGCACGGTGATGGCATTGCGGTAGGACGGCTTCACCTCGCTCACTCGCAGGAACACCCCGTACTTGTTGCAGCCAACGTCGAAGAAGAAGCGTTTGGAGTCCACCGTGATGGAGGTGCCCTCCGGGAGCTCTCCGTACAGGCCGCCCCCTGGGCCGCCGGCGCCGCCTCCCGGGCCGCCGGCCAGCTCGTCATCCTCGCCCCCGTAGTCGTCGATGAGCTTGGCCAGCGCGTCGCGGAACTCGATGAGACCCTGCGCGGGCAGCGCGATGGTCTGGCCGCTCTGCAGGCCGCCGGGCCCGGGTCCGCCGCCGAAGCCGCCGCCGCCGCCGCCGCGGTTCACCGTCTGACGGATGCGCAGGAAGCGGCCGCGCTGGTTCTCCTTGAGGTCCAGGTAGTACTTGCGGTTCTCGCGCACCAGGAACTCGCTCTTGAGCGCGCGGCGCGGCCCGCCGCCCTCCTCGGCTCCCGCCGCCAGCTGCTCCGGGCTGCTGGGACCCAGCTGCGCGTAGTGCTCGATGAAGTCGCCCAGCGAGTCGCGGAACTCGGCGGCCACCGCCATCGACAGCGTGAGGCGGCTCTTGGAACCGCCCGCGCCCACCTCGGCGATCTTGAGGAAGCGGCCCTTGGCGTTCTGCTTCACGTCCAGGTAGAAGCGCTTGTTCTGGATGTCCAGTCGCTTCGAGGCCAGCTCCTGCGTCTCCTGCTCGCCGCCGGGCCCGCCGCCGCCGCCGCGCGGCGCGGGCTGGAAGCCGCCGGGCCCGCCGCCGCCGCCGCCGCCGCCGCGCTCGCTGCCGCTGTCGCCGTCCGCCATCTTCTCGGCCGCCGCCTCGCCGCCGCCCGCTGCGCTCGCGCCCCCGCCCTCCGCCCTGCGGCTCGCGCTCCGGGGCCCCCCAGCCTCGCCCGCCGGCTCCTCACGCGCGCCCGCCGCTCATCGCCGGCCGCCGCCGCCCCCCATCGCCTCCGCGCCCCGCCCCCGCGGCTTCCGTGCTGCACGGCCCGCTTCCGGCGCGCGGCTCTCGTGACGTCACTGCACCCCGCCCGCCGCCGCCTCCCGGCCGGAAGACCCAGCAAGGCGGCGGGGCGCAGGGGTGACGTCACTGGCCGCGCCAGGGAAGCGCCCTGCGGCTCTCGGGGTGACGGGTGATCGCTGCTTCTGTCCGCTGGTCTTGGGGTGCTTTCTTTTTTTTTTTTTTTTTTTTTTTTTTTGGTTTTTCGAGACAGGGTTTCTCTGTGTAGCTTTGCGCCTTTCCTGGAACTCGCTTTGGAGACCAGGCTGGCCTCGAACTCACAGAGATCCGCCTGGCTCTGCCTCCCGAGTGCTGGGATTAAAGGCGTGCGCCACCGCCGCCCGGCCTTGGGGTGCTTTCTTTATGCTTTATTGACATTCAGAGGCTTTAGTCCGTGATCAGATGGCTCTGTTGCTTTGGGACAGTGGTAAGGCAGAACATTATGCTGAGAAGCATGTGAATTACTCAAGAGTGGAGCTGCTCACCTCGTGGTGCCTGGGAAGCAGAGACAGGAAAGGGTCAAGGACGAGGGATCTTTTCAGAGCATACCCGAGTAACCTGTTTTCTCCAACGTGACCCTACTTTTCAGTAATGCCACTAGGTTATTAATCCTCAGGGACTAATACACTGATTAGGTCAGAATCATAAGGATCCAGTCACTTTTCAATTACTGGGTCCACCAACCAGGGATGAAGCCTTCAATACAAAAGCCTCTCATTTGTTGTTTTTTTCAGACAGGGTTTCTCTGTGTAGTTTTGGTGCCTGTCCTGGAACTCACTCTGTAGACCAGGCTGGCCTCGAATTCCCACAGATCCACCTGTCACTGCCTCCTGAGCACTGGGATTAAGGGCGTGTGCCATCACCGCCCGGCAAGCCTGTGTTTCTATACAAACCAGAACACTATCTTACTTTATAAACTCCCTGCATGGAGTTCACACAAATAACTCTTCCTTTTTGTTTATTTATAATTGGGCAGTTTTATGGCAGGGTCTCACTACCTCAGACTGACTTGAACCTGAGTTCTGGCATCAGTTTAATCCTAGTTAGTCAAGTTCTATTTTAATCAAGTGTTAAATGTTTTTAATTTTGCTTGTATGTGCACGTGGGTATACATGTACATGTGTAGAGGCCAGAGGTGAACATGAGTGTCTCTGTTACTTTCCACTTTATTTTTTTTGAAACGGCCTCTCACCAAACCTGGAGCTCACTGAGTTGAGCTAGGCTGACCCAGTGCTGAGAACACAGAGGCACACGGCTACCTTTTTACGCAGGTGCTAGGGGTTCAAGCTTAGGTCTTCATGCGTGTGTTTTAAGCATTTAACTCTCTCCAGTCTGTGTGCTGTCTGAGGTCAGATTTGTTTTTTTGTTTCCTTCAAAATTTCATTTGTTTTTAAGCCTAGGATCTTCTGCTCTTTCAATTTTTTAAAATAAGGCCATATTTTTGAGAGTTTTTATGGTTTGATTTTTTTAAATATATGACCATGTTTATATTTAACTCCAGTTTATCTACCGTATATCATGATGTCTAGCATGAAGTTAAGAATCTGAGGAATTTCCTTCAAATGGCTAACCAATTGTCCCAACACTACTTATTGAGTAATCCTTCAAGGATAGATGTTAACAGGTGGAGACAGGGGTAGATTATTTTGGGCAGGAGGAACATATGTTCCCAGCTGGTGAGCAGTGCAGTTTGGCTGGGGCCCAGGCTCTGTGGGGAGTGGGTGAGGAGTGGGTGGTGAACAATGGAACTGGAGGCAGCTGCTCTCCGGTGGCTAGGGAGACCTTTGACGGTGAACCCGGGCCACCATAACTGTATAAACAGGAGTAGTTTTCTAGCCTTGTGTCTCAAGGAAGTGACCCAGGGCAAAGGCGAGCATGGGTGGGCTACAGTGGGACCCAGCACAAGCCCTTGATTAAAAGCAGTAACTATATTCTAAAGTAGGTCCACATAGACTTTCAGTGCCTGGGCAGTGCTGGTTGGCGAGGCGGGAGACTGTGGTTCTTTGGTCAGGATTGAAAAACTATATGGTGTCAAGAGAAAAAGTAGGTGATAATTTGAGATGAGGGCTCTGGTGACCAGGGAATGAGAATAATCCTAGCAGATAAGCCTGATGGGGGGCATGAGGACTTTGTATGAAGATGATAACCCAGAACCAAGCTTAGACTTCACAAGACCTCAGATGCTGCAGATATTAGATGCTTCCCTGTTGTGGAATATTATTTTAAGGTGTGTTACATGTGTTTATGCTGTGGAACATTTGTTCAATGATGCAAAGATGTGTTGCATTCTTTTATGTTGCATTCTGTTAACTCTGTGAAGCTGTGTTACTGTGCCTGTCTAAAACACCTGATGGTCTAATAAAGAGCTGACCAGCCAATAGCAAGGCAAGAGAAAGGATAGGCGGGGCTGGTAGGTGGAGGGAATAAATAGACGGAGAAATCTGGGAGGAAAAGAAGAAAGAGCAAGAGAACAAGGAGGGGAGGATGCTAGGGGCCAGTCACTCAGCCACACAGCCAGCAACAGAGTAAGAATGAAAGGTATACAGAAATAGAGAAAGGTAAAAGCCCAGAGGCAAAAGATAGATGGGATAATTTAAGAAAAGCTGACTAGAAACAAGCCAAGCTAAGGCTGGGCATTCATAAGTAATAATAAGTCTCTATGTGTGATTTATTTGGGAGCTGGGTGGCGGGCTCCCCAAGAGCCAAAAAAGAAAGAATGAAAAACAATCAAGTACATTCCCCCATGCTTGTGTACATGGAATCAATGAAAGGTGCTGCTTTTAAATGCATTTTTTTGAATATCAGTTGTTTCCTCGGTTTCTTCCTTCTTGTGGACTTAAAGCCCTGCCTTCCAGCAAATTAAGGGTACATGAGACAGATCTATTGACTGTTTGAGAAGCTGGCTGGATGGCCCTGGGCAAACGTGCCCATGGGGAGTCTAGTATTGGGATGGGTGATAGAGATGCAGCTCAGAGACTGCCAGCCGACAGACAGACTGGACATCATTCTCCTGGGGGTCACATAAAGCAAGGACGGGTGGCCAGAATGAGGAGAGAGCAAAGCTGATGATGGCTGGAGGTTGAGCATGAACTTCTCCCACATCTTCACGTTGCACCACAAGTCACACTGCCCAGATCTTCCGATTCTAACTACTGTTTCTTTAGCCCTATTTCACATTGTCACTGGGGGAGGGGTGGAACACAGATGTCAAAGCACCGAGCAGTCAATGTGAGCAGGAAGTGTGGGTTGAGGAGCCACCCTGTGACAGGGCAGGAAAGGAAGGGGATGGGCAAAGGGCACAGGCTCTCTTTCTAGAGATGTGAGTGGCACGAAGGTTGCAGGGCAGAGCACAGACTCCTTCAGAATCACTCATCTGAGGCCTGGGGCAATCACAGGAGATGGGAAGTCACTTGGGAAAGGGACGGTGTAGAAAATAAGTATCCTTTGCCTTCTGCGAGTAGGGAGAGAAGAGAATCCACTGGAGGCTGGGGTGGAAGGGGAAGCCGGGGAAGTGGCTGCCTGAGGCCACATGCTGAGTTGGCTGGGACTGGGAGAGGAACTGGATAGAAGTCGCCAGGGCAGCCCCTGGCATCCAGGGAGGAGACTGAGGAGATTGCGGCAGGTGTTGAGATTCCTGACTGCCATGTAAAAACTCTGGGTGTGGTGGTGTGTGCCTGTAACCTAAATACTTAGGTCAGAGACAGGTGGAGCCTGGGGCTCTCTGGCTAGCCAGGTGAACTGAAATGGTGAGCTCTTGTGCAAGGAGAGACTCTGAAATAAGATGGAAAAGTGCTTGAGGAAAACATTCCAGTAGCAATCTGTGGCCTCCACATCTGCAGGCTCGGGTGAGCACACCCACACCTACACCCACACATGCATACATATATAGCACACTATGTAACACACACACACTAGTTGTAAGAGGAGTATTTTTCACACAAATTCACTCAAATATTAACATGTCACCACATTTACCTCTAATCACCCCACTGCTTTCTTACTCCTCTCTCTGATTTCCATCTTTCTATGTCTGTCCCTTTCCATTTCTCTGTCTCCATCTCTCTTTTTGTCTCTGTCTTGCTCTGTGGCTAGAGTTCCTTCTGAGCTGTTTGGGAGTAAACTAATATGCCCATTCACCTGCAACATTTCTGGGTCTGTTTACTGAACAAGGACACTCTTAGCTAACTGGAGCACCATGGTCAAACTCAAGAAATTAGTTCAGCCACGCCTGCCGTTAGCCCATCTGCAGACCCAAGGGGGATGTGCCAAGTGTCCAGACTGCACCCTCTGCTGCATGGAAAACCCTGTAGCATTTCAGGTCATGGAGTCTGCTCTTCCTAGTCTGTGGCCAGCTCTGAGCCTCTCCTTTCCACAGCAGCAGCATTCGGAGGCATGAAAACTGCTTGTTTTGTAGGTAGATACCCTACTCTGGGTTTAAAGGTGCTTCTTGGCTACACTCTGGAACCGTCTGCTGCCCTGGCCCTTCCAACTCCCCACAGTGCATTCAGAGTTGCCCATGTGCCAACCAGCCTGTGTCTAAAGCTAGAGGGAGGGAGAAGAGATGGTTACAGACCAGGGTCAGCAGAGCAGGGGCTGGCAGGCGGATGTGGGGCCATACAGAAGGGTTTGCAGCTGTATCTAAAGTGGAATTGTGTTTAACCCCAAGGTCTTCCTGCTCTGAGTTGTTTGTAAGCCAAAATTCCCGATCTTTTTTCACCCTTTCCCATTCTGGATAAAATCAGACTAGGGGAAGCAGGGAGGCATTCCAGAGGAACCTGTATGCGAGCTGCTAGGAAAGCAGGGCA